ATTTATATATATACACACATACATACATACAGACATACAGACATACACACACACATACATACATACATACACACATACACACACACACACACACACACACATATATATATATATATATACATACACGTATATATATATACATACACGTATATATATATATATATATATATAAAAGCCAGAGATATATGCAGACAACACTTCGAGCATACTGTATACGTATATATATACTATACTAGGTAGGTATACACACTATACTAGAGAGGTATATACATTATACCAAGTAGGTATCCACATCCATTCCATTTCCTAGATCTTTGCAATGCATATAGACATCTGCATATGACTTACGTTTCTGTTATAATTGGCGTTCCGTAGACATCGGCGTAGACAGAGCCGCCGCTAGAGTCCATCATAGGCTGTCCGTTGGCGTCAAAGGCGGGTATTTGGTTGCCTGTACTGTCATATGCGGACGATCCTGCCGGTACCGCCTATGTGAAGGTAGGTATATGTATGAATGTAAAATCGTACACAGATTTGCGACCACCGTATGTTTAAAGGCAGGAATACGTATACGTAGGGAAAAAAAGGTATATATACGTATTCAAATATATGAACTGTGCAGTGGAATGCTGATACCGTCTGTATTGAGACAGTTAAACGAATATCCAATGCGTAAAGGAGGTATGTGAGCTGTGATACGTTTCATACGGAATGGATAGGCGCGTAGGCGGGCATACGGACACCACCAGTGCGGAGGGTAGCAAATGCATGGAGATAGGACTATGAACTGTATAAAGTGTATATATGACTATGAACTATATACAATGTATATAAAACTATGAACTGTATGATACTACTTCCAACCTATTTCTCTCATGCCTGTTTAAGGAAGATATAATCCATTTAATGTCAATAGTAACTCAGATTAGAAGTCCAAGCGAGGTTGGACCACAACATACCTCTCCAGCAATAGTCACCACACCACCCTGTGCGTCTCTGAACAGAGGAGTGCCTTCTGCGTTCTTGACGTACGTGCCGTCTGCACTGAGGAAAGCCGTGTAACCATTCGCGATCATCTGAATGGCGGCTAGCTCTAGCTCAGATGCTCTGTGTGTCGAGAAAAAAGGCCGCATTACTATATTGTTTGCGAGTATGTACAGCATATACTGTAATAGATTTACACACATACACACACACGCACACACACACATACACACATATATATAATATACATATAATATATATAATATATACATATACATATA